ACGTGTGCTGCAAAATATAAACTGTGTGATTAGTTCAAAAGAATAACAATATTTTATTCCTTTATATTTGGATAAGCGATTTGCAAATTGGGCCTGCATTCTGTTCTGCGAAAAGTACACCTGAAGGCTGGGAATTTGACCGAGGCTTAAATGCAGTGATAATTTGTTTGCGTAATGAGCACAAGTCTCTGTGGTGGCAAAGTACATAATGGCTATTTAGTTGGCATTTAAAGGTGACTCTTGAAACTGAGATTTAGGGAGCACACAGTCTTTCATTAGACCGTAAGATAGGGAGTTTGTTACTAACTGCTTTCTCTAAGGCATTTGGGGAAAGCATGTCAGAAAAGCGATAGGCAAGATAGTTTGAGGCCTTTTAAAAAAAATCATTTTATTGGGAACTCTTGCAGATGTCATAAAATCCATGGTTCAGTCACATCAAAGCAGTATTGTACAATTGCTTTCACAATCGGTTTCAAAAACATTTCTTTCTTCTTGAATTCCTTGCTATCAGCTCCCCTTTGTCCCCTCCCACCCCCACCCTATCCCCCAAAAACCCCTATTTATTTTTCCTATGATAGTTGTTTGGGGTCTTTTTTGCCATATCTTACGTAATCCATTGTATTCATTCACATACAGTTCTGTTGTTCGATCCCTTCAAATGGGATTATACAGTCATCAGTGATATCTTGGCTTTTGTGTACTGAATGATTTCAATATACAAATTAACATACAAAAATGTAACATGATTAATGAGATAAAACAAATGAAAACCATGATAGTAAAGGGAAGAAATATTAAAGAACGAGAGGATAATGTACGTAGTTCATCGGCATTAAACTGTCCCCTGGATTTATTATCCCTTCCTTGTGGCCCTCTGAGAGGGACTGTCCAATTACCTTGCAGGTGGGTTTTGGGTCTCTTAAACTACATCCATGCCCCTTCACATTGATTTGGTGGCTTGTGGGGAACAGAAGGATTTCTCTTAAGTTGTCTCCCCAAAATATATGCCAGACTTAGCTTGAGAATAATTGTTCACTAGGCAGCGAAAGTGGGTCAGAGGTTATTCTCCTTAACACCCAAATAGGGCCCATTCCTTTCTGTTATTGTTCCCTCGAAGCAGTATCCATAGGCAAGCCCGGGACCACTCTAAGATGACTAAGCTTAGGCTACTATAGCACATTCACCCCTAGGTCATCCCCCTCCTATTGCTTGTATTGCCTATGTTACAACCCCTCTCTATGACGTAGGTTGTTATCTGCTATCAGGGGGCTTGCATGCCTCCCAGGATAAAATTGCCTGCTTTATTGTATGAGACACCAGAATGATCAAACCTGTTCAAGGATGAATTGTATTGCCCCTCTCTGTGATGCATGATGCTGTGATGTATCCCCCTAAAGTAATATGATGCGACGTTAGCAATAAATAAGGAGAGCTGCTTCCCAAGATGGGCGGCTCCCAAGAGGTGGCTGGCGGAGGGTGGCTGGCAGAGGGTGGCTGAGGAAGGAGGGCTGCTCCCATGAGGGCGATGGACGGGAGGGCAGCTCCCTCGAGGGAGGCGGCTCCTGCTCTGGCAGCCGGGTTCCCCCCACGAGGACCACCAAGCGGGGCGGAGGTGAGCAATGTTACCATGTAATATGTCTGACTGTATTATTGTATTATCTCTCATGCTCTCGATGACTTTAATATAATATTTATATATCTCAACCGTACAATTGTGCATTACTGAACCCAGAAGTAGTATTACTGAATCCGAGTAGCAGCAATAGGAGTATTAGTGGTGGGGGCTGGCCCCCCACCTCCCTCAGCGTCATATTTTAATTTAATACTACAGTGGCTTGTTTTTGAACTTGGCTGGTGTGCTTCTTCAGTGTGGCCTGTGTTGCTTCCCCGTTATATGGACGCTTTTTTAACTACAAGCCTTTAAGACCCCAGATGCTTTATCTTTTAATAGTTGGTGGGGTCTTTTGGGGGTCTTGTTATTTTAGTTAACTAATGCACTATAACAGAAATCTCACAAGTGGATGGCTTAAACAAACATTTATTTTTTTCACAGTTTCAAAAACAAGATCAAACTCACAATCATTGACCTGATTTGGACTCACAGAGACCCTGGGAGTAGAAAGCTTGGTCTTTCTCCTGAGGAGCAGCTGGTGGTTTCTAACTGCTGACCTTGTGGCCAACAGCCAAGTACATAACCCACCACCACCAGGGCTATAAATCTGAATTCAGGGCACTGGTTTTCCCTCTTTGTCCACTCCGGAGAAGGTCCTTGGCTCTTCAGATTCTGTTTCCTGGTTACTTACAGATCTGTGTGTGACTTACCTTTCTTATCCCATCTCTGGTTGGTTTTGGGTTTCATCTCTTTTATATCTCAGAAGTGATTGCCTTGAGACATGCCCTACATTAACATAACAATGATGATCCTTCCCCAT